AACTAGCTAGTCTTAGATCTCCATTTTTGGCTGGTGGTATGCCGTCGCTGCTTATAACGTACCGTGTATCTTGTTTTATTATTTGTTTAACAGCCGTAAACGATATCACGATATGCAAATATTGAACCGTTCGGCTTCACCGGGTGTTTAAATGGGCGGTCCACGTGTTGACATTCCCATGTCCTAAGCTCTTTATTATGGCCCTGAAAGAAAAACAGTCTTACTGATGACACAGATGGTACAGAAAACTGTCTCTGTCGCAACACTGATCTTGTTCACAGATTTTGTCTGGGTCCATGTGCGAGGTTTTTTATTTTATTTCGGTGTTTTCTGATTTACTGCTGTTGTCTTCTCGTATAGATTTCTGTTTCGTCCTTGTGTGATAGCACCGTAGAATGTGGTTTCTGCTTCATACAGCCAGATTGCTATTTGTAAATTAAATAACCTCAAATCCCGTGTAGGATAGTTCCAAACCAATGTTTAATGATCTTTATATTATTTATCCAACGTTATCTCTAAACCATCTGATGAAACGAATGTCTATTAAACGTGGAACTGATTAGACATTGTCTGCAATACTAATGTGAAGTAAATAGTAGATATGTTTACGCGATGACAGTGGACCGTCAACGCCATGTGTATAGCATTGTGGTGCAGCACATACCCACACACACACCGCNCCCCCCCCCCGAACACACACACACACACACACATACACACATGTGTATAACGCTGTAGTGCATCTATTGTCTTTACTATAAAGGAACCCTGTTCCACTGTACTGTATCCTTCCCTTAGCTTTCGTTATGGTTTTGCTGTATTACTGTCAGGCAAAGACACTTTGGTGTTAACGATTCGAATTTCGATCTTTTCCAATCAGAACAGTGTTGTTGATTATATTTGTTTATCATCTTTTTTATTTCCCATAAAAGGCCCACTAGTAAGGGTTTTCATTTCAGGCATTACTTATTAGAGCTCTATAGTCATGCCATAAGAAAAAACAATTTTCCAACACTTAGTGACGGGTTTTTAAATTGGTACGGGGATCCTTGATTATACGTCAGATTCCTTGAAACTATAAATATATTTCTCTCATTTCCCTGTGTGTGAGATAGAGCTGTCCAGGGTGAGAAAGGGGTGAAGAAAATGTCTATCTTACACCCGATTTCATGATTTTACGATATATTTACCGTGCACGTTATAAAGATGAGATTAATTTTTATGCACAAACATTGTTTTCAAATATGGTATAGGCTAAATCTGGCTGGCTAATTCGTTTTCGTCTAAAAAGTTCAGGGGGAAAATTGAGATTTCCAAAATGGTGGCCAGTCAAAACGCATTTTCATGATTTCTGAGCTCATTCTGGTGGTTGGAATGAGAGAAAAATACTCTTTCATGCCCAAGGGTGTAGGATAGGGAATTTGGTAAAACCCCGAGGCATTGTTGGAATTTCCCTTTCCTATACCCCTGTGCATGAAAATACATAAGTATCACGATAAATTTACAATTCATATACATTTCAAGGTTGTAATAGCTTTGAAGTTTAATTTTGTCCTGTTTGTTTGATGATGTTGTCTACTGTCTACCAAACAGTTTTAATCATTGCTGTTGACCTGGATTGCGCGCAACAGGTGTTTGCCGCACCAGAGTCCGAACCTACATTCGGCATGTGACATCTAGAAACGTGTTTGCTACAATGATTCTTAAATATCTGACAGTCGATACCCTAGTTGTCTGTAACATGATATCGACTCTGTGGTGTGTTTTTTCCTTGTGTTCATGTCGTGATTAGGTTGTCTGTAACGTTCTATCGACTCTGTGTTCATGTCGTGGTTAAGTTGTATATAACGTTCTATCGACTGTGTTGTGTTTATCCTTGTGTTCATGTCGTGGTTAAGTTGTCTGTAACGTTCTATCGACTTTGTGTTATGTTTATCTTGTGTTCATGTCGTGGTTAAGTTGTCTACAACGTTTTATCGACTCTGTGTTCATGTCGTGGTCAAGTTGTCTGTAGCGTTCTATCGACTCTGTGGTGTGTTTTTCCTTGTGTTCATGTCGTGGTTAAGTTGTCTATAACGTTCTATCGACTCTTTGGTGTGTTTTTCCTTGTGTTCGTGTCGTAGTTAGGTTGTCTGTAACGTTCTATCGACTCTGTGTTATATCTATCCTTGTGTCCATGTCGTGGTAAAGTTGTATGTAACGTTTTATTGATTTTGTATTTGGTGTTTGTCCTTGTGTGTTGACATCGCGGTTTATTTGTTTCTTTTTTCCTTGTAACCAAACAGAATATCTCTTATAAATATTGATTTAATTTTACGCCGCGAGAAATGATACCTATAATAGCCAACAAATCAATCATCCCCGCGGCTTCTCCTCTTACGTCCTACACACACTAGAAGAGATTATTTCTTGAAGCAATAAAGTGCATTTCAATTTACTACCATGTATTTCGTTTCCATTTTGATAATGAAAAAGCAATCAAAATATGCGTGATTATTATTCAATGCATCTGTAACGGGAAAGTACAAAATTGGAGAAAAAGAACGAGTTAATTATTTCACCATAATAGTGAAAAATATGTTGATAATTATATAGTATCACACTGCGATATCGGAATTGGTCGTGAGAACAATTGTCTCATCGAGAGCACTTGGACAAAGTCAGGAGACCACCGCAGGTGATCTCGAAAGTGTATCCTCTTGCAAGCAAGCGATGTGATGAACTGTTTATCATCTATGTACTACTACCTTTTATATTTCTTATTCATATAAAGTCAATTAAATACCGTAGCTTCTAAATGACTTCTAGGCGCAATGATCATCGCGATCCTTGGTATGATACAAACGTAGAAGATTTCCGCGGAGGAATACCATGAACCTCATAACTATGTAGAAAGATATATATTTTAAAACAATACCTTGGCTCATCGTCATTGGATTATCCATATGCACATTTACGCTTAAAATGGTGATGTTATCCTAACAATATTTTCCACATCTTTATAATGATTTGTTTATGACCTTGCGCGAGAAAACATTCGTTTTTGAGAAAATACGTTGGGAAAATCAGTTCCAAAGTTCTTTTCAAGTCGTTATCAACTACTTTTTGAGTAATCACACATTGAAAACCCAATACAACGAGTTTATCATGCTACTGGTAGGTGGTTTAAAGTGGTACATAAATGCTAATTTGTATTCTTACATATATAAGTATATTTGAAAATACGTCTGTGTTGACTTTACTTTCTATAACACAGCTTTGCTAAGACCATACAATAATTAAAACAAGGCTGTTACTTTGCGCACGTAGTACCGAGTTTTATTTTTGCAAGGAAAATGTCACAACGGATTTATAATGTTTGGACATTGCAGCAAACGGTCCAATAGTGCCATATCAGCGTGGGTGTATGTAGAAACGTTTAGATACGTGTACGAACATACTTGCGTGTACCCTTCCTCGATGAAAGCTAATTCGACCATGACTAGTCACACACGGCTCACCTGATTACAGTCTTTTTTTTTTTTGGAAGGACGTTGCACGCTCATCGTTTCTTGTGCATGCTTTATTGTCAAACAATACAAAGTTATCAGCCAATGAAAATATCGTTACATTGCCGATGTGATATAATTTCTATTCTACCACGTCTGTGATGTAACGATGGTGTTCATTGGTTAAAAAGAGTGCATTATTGAGCGATATACCATGCGCGTGCCAATAACCAATGCACATGAAATAGTGCGCACGCATGCTGTTCCAACAACCTCCTCGTATTTTATCATGAATTGGCAAAAATAGCGTAACTGTCAGGCGGGATCAAAATATTTGACAGGCCTGCCATTCAAAAGATTACACGGATCTATTTCAATTTGATCCGTGTTAACTATACAGTGTTAACCATATAATTAACCATACAGTGCAGTGCTGTGATAACTGGCCAGAAACTGTCCGGTGAATTCGGTGAAAGTGAAGGTCGCGTCATGATCAGCCAGTCAGCGACTTTCCATCACGTCATGGCAACCAGCCAACTCATGTCAGGCCTATCGTATGATGTTGTATCACTGGCACTTCCAAGACTTAAAGTATGTGGGTCCGTGCAGTGAAAGTGGTTTATTAATTATTGACATTTAAAATGTACAGGTCTGAAGACAAAATGGTAAATTATTAATTACTTCTGTTTTTACTTCACTGTGTAGTGCCGTACATTTCCAGATGTGTGCAGTGTGTGTATGTACTGTCAAGCGTTGATTTCAGCTGTGTTTTGAAACCAATGTTCAGACCGATGCTACTTTTTGCAACATTATTCTTCACACACGGTATGTACACTGTAGCTAGGCGAATGCTCGACATCACTTGACCTTGGTAACCAATAACTAATCATACAGTGCAGTGCTGTGATAACTGGCCAGAAACTGTCCGGTGAATTCGGTGAAGGTGAAGGTCGCGTCATGATCAGCCAGTCAGCGACTTTCCATCACGTCATGGCAACCAACTAAATATGCCAACTCATGTCAGGCCTATCGTATGATGTTGTATCACTGGCACTTCCAAGAAAATCCGCTTGATATCGGTACGATGATGATGGTTTTAGAAGTAAACGCAATCCGGGAATCCCAACCCTGCGCACTGAGAAATGTTGGCGCGACATTGATCAAGTTAAAACGAGGCAACATGATCACGTTATAAATCTTGCACGCGCAAAAGAACAGCGTCTAATTTGCATATCGAATTATCTAGGTCATGTCGCCTTATAAGACAGCAAAACTTTACAATTAGTTACATTTAACGTGGTAGAATAAAAATAATGAACTTAAGCGGCCCTCGTTAATTATTTTTACCAACATTTTCTCACCCTCGTTATATATTCCACCATAACGCACGCACATATGTTGATTATTTCTTAAATAATGACATTGTGATTCCATACAGATAGAGATATACATGTATGTGTTTTATTTTTTTAACTGTAAATACCTTTGTACTTTCTTTTTACATGTCCGCAGTCAGCCAGATTAGGACAACACGTGATCAGCGGAAGATAATGGACTCACTTGCTGTTTCTACTCAACAACAGGTACGCTGTGTACAAATATCTCAATAAACGACTTTTTATTTAGAAAATAAAATCTATTTTGTTTTTACTTCTTTATTGTTGCTATTCCTCGTAGTTGGTTTTTTTTAACATTCAAACGTGATTAAAACAGTTAGCACGACTCTCATTATAGAATTACAGACACAATCTTTGTTTAATGTGAATTAGTATATGTGACGCTCTTTCCGGATGCTAAATAATGTAATGGCTTCTTTAACGATAAAAGTATAATATAACAATATTGAATTATCTTACTCTTTTCAGAGCATCAAACAAGCCGTGTTTATTCCAACACAAAGACGTGGTGGTATCATGGATCAGAGGAAAGCAGATGTAATAAAGTTGTGCAGTAAAAATACTGCTTACAAACGTCCCCACCGGGACCATATGCTATATAATAAGAACAAACAATTTATCTTTTGTAAAGCAACGAAAGCCGGATCGACATTCTGGGGAAGACTTTTACTTCAAGTGGACAGACATGTGATAGCGAATCCTTACAAAATAAAACCTCAAATTGGACCGATCAACGTGATTCCTACAATTACAGAATGGTTAAAGTTTAACGAAATCTTACAAAGTTCTACAAAGTTCATAATAGCTCGTGATCCTTTAGAGCGGTTATATTCCGCCTATGTTGATAAAGTGTTTTCTCCAAACCCATATTACTGGGATGTCATAGGTACCTATATAGTAAAAACATTTAGGAAAACTTCAAAACGTACCTGCGGACATGACGTGACATTCCCAGAATTCCTCCAATATGCCGTTCATGCCGAGACTTCCGGCAAACATCGCGATGTACACGTGGCGTCTTTGTGGGAGACATGTTCTCCCTGTCATGTCAAGTATGACATCATAGGCAAAATGGAAACTTTCAAAGATGACACAGATGATATTCTTGACAAATTAAAACTGGAGCCTTACAAAGCAGTATTGCGTAACATCTCCATTGACGCCGTAAATGATGCGTTATACGATACAGCTCAGGCGTACGTAGACATGCGCACTCCATCGTTAGAATGTATCTCAGAGCAACATACAGTCGAACGGATATGGACGAAGTTGAAATCTAGAGGTTTCATTGCTGCTGATGTGCCCGTTCCTACGGAATTGTACAACAAAAATGAAACAGCAGTGTTGGAAATATTCAAATATGCATATTCTAAATCAGTTCTTAAGTTGGGACGTGAAGGATTGAAAAGACAGCAAAAGGCTATATTTTTTGAAACGTTAAGAAAACTACCGGATCAAATGCTGACACAGGTAGCAAAAGCGTATCACAAAGATTTCGAAATGTTTGGATATGACCAGAAATTTAAATACATATTTCAAGATTCTACCAATTCTGATTTTTCCGTCAGTGATAGTTTTTTCTGAATTTAATAAAAAGAGATTTCGCCTGTTTTGTATTGTGTATAAATATGATGTCACATTTCTTTAAACAAAATACAACTTTCTGCTAAGGCCGGACGCTTACATCTTTAACTAGCTAATAAAACAAACCAGGAACACCACTATTTAAAGTGAGCATATTCATACCAAGTGTCATTCATCAGTATATTTCAAGACGGGCCAAAGCAAACAACAGAACGGCAGGATAGGCCTTGTGTAATGAACTCCATAAACTAATGCACCATAACCAGTCGTCGTTGTATTAAAAATGATACCTGATGCGACTCTCTCTTCGTTTGCTGGATACAAATTGTGTGAACTGTCATTGGTTACTTTAAAATGTATGTTCTAAATTCAATTAACTTGTCATTTATTTCAGAAAGAACCATTCCTTCTGTATATTAACAGAGACAAGGTGAAGTAATTGGACCTTCAGCATTCGCAAAGAAATACGGGCACTAACTACTTTAACAAATAACATTTCTAATTATAAACTATAACAGAGAAATCCATTTGTGATGAAATTGTCTTTCTTATTAAACCGTGTGATAGTTGAGTGAACCAATAATGTATTTTTTTGTTTTTATTTTTATTTGTTTTGTCTTCCTGATTGATGTACATCTTATTGTCAGCTTTATGATATGCAAGTTATTCATGTGATCATAAAAACTGAGATATTTGGAAGTTATCTTTTATTTAAAACAACATCTGTAATGTTATCAGAATTGATAGAAAAGACACTGGTTTATTACAGTGTGTTTTATATAGGCCACTGGTTTATATCAGTGTATATTATATAGGCCACTAGTTTATAACAGTGTATATTATATTGGCCACTGGTTTATAATAGTGTATATTATATAGGCCACTGGTTTATAACAGTGTATATTATATAGGCCACTGGTTTATAACAGTGTATATTATATAGGCCACTGATTTATAATAGTGTATATCATATAGGCCACTGGGTTATAACAGTGTATATTATATAGGCCACTGGTTTATTACAGTGTATATTATATAGGCCACTGATTTATTACAGTGTATATTATATAGGCCACTGATTTATAACAGTGTATATTATATAGGCCACTGGTTTATAATAGTGTATATTATATAGGCCACTGGGTTATAACAGTGTATATTATATAGGCCACTGGTTTATTACAGTGTGTATTATATAGGCCACTGATTTATATCAGTGTATATTATATAGGCCACTAGTTTATAACAGTGTATATTATATTGGCTACTGGTTTATATCAGTGTATCTTATATAGGCCACTGGTTTATAATAGTGTGTTTTATATAGGCCACTGGTTTATAAAAGCGTGCTTTATATAGACCACTAGATTATAACAGTGTATATTATATATAGGCCACTGGTTAATAACAGTGTATATTATAAAGGCCACTAGTTTATAACAGTGTATATTATATAGGCCACTAGTTTATAACAGTGTATAATATATAGGCCATTGGTTTAAAACAGTGTATATTATATAGGCCACTAGTTTATAACAGAGTATATTATATAGGCCAATGATTTATAATAGTGAATATTATATAGGCCACTGGTTTATAATAGTGTATATTATATTGGCCACTGGTTTTTAATAGTGTGTAGTTATATATAGGCAACTAGTTTATAACAGTGTATATTATATAGGCAACTAGTTTATAACAGTGTATATTATATAGGCCACTGGTTTATAATAGTGTGTTTTATAAAGGCCACTGGTTTAGAATAGTGTGTTTATAATGGCCACTGGTTTATAATAGTGTGTTTATGATTGGTGATTGTACAGTGCAGGTATGTTTTCAGTGCGGTATGATTGATGACTGTACATTGTAGGTATGTTTTTAGTGCAGTATGATTGATGATTGTACAGTGTAGGTATATTTTCAGTGCGGTATGATTGATGATTGTTCATTGTAGGTATGTTTTCAGTGCAGTAAGATCGATGATTGTACATTGTAGGTATGTTTTCAGCGCGGTATGATTGATGATTGTACAGTGTAGGTATATTTTCAGTGCGGTATGATTGATGATTGTACATTATAGGTATATTTTCAGTGCATTATGATTGATGATTGTACAGTGTAGGTATGTTTTCAGTGCGGTATGATTGATGATTGTACATTGTAGGTATATTTTCAGTGCGGTATGATTGATGATTGTACAGTGTAGGTATGTTTTCAGTGCGGTATGATTGATGATTGTACACTGTAGGTATAATTTTAGTGCATTATGATTGATGATTGTACATTGTAGGTATGTTTCCAGTGCGGTATGATTGATGATTGTACACTGTAGGTATAATTTTAGTGCATTATGATTGATGATTGTACATTGTAGGTATATTTTCAGTGCATTATGATTGATGATTGTACACTGTAGGTATATTTTCAGTGCGGTATGATTGATGATTGTACACTGTAGGTATATTTTCAGTGCATTATGATTGATGATTGTACACTGTAGGTATAATTTTAGTGCATAATGATTGATGATTAAACACTGTAGGTATAATTTTAGTGCATTATGATTGATGATTGTACATTGTAGGTATGTTTCCAGTGCGGTATGATTGATGATTGTACACTGTAGGTATAATTTTAGTGCATTATGATTGATGATTGTACATTGTAGGTATATTTTCAGTGCGGTATGATTGATGATTGTACACTGTAGGTATATATTCAGTGCGGTATGATTGATGATTGTACAGTGTAATTATGTTATCAGTGCAATACGTTCGATTAAACACTAAAGCTATAATTCTACTCGGGTATGAAAAGATAGATACTACAGCTATCTCTTCAGTGGGTGTGATTGATGATGGTACAGTGTACATTAAAACTATGTTTTTCCTTTGACGAGAAATCTATTTGTGGTCAAGTACTCGATATGGCAATTTACGTTGTTTGTATCCGGATCAATATTTAATTATCTTTTCATTATCCATATTCAACGAACATTCTGTTTTCATCCTGTAAATATTCCTGAACGAATGAAAAACATGCATTCGTTCGTGAGTATATGATGTTGCTTGCCATGCCCATTCAGTCGGAGGGGAGTAAGGGAGACACACGTTTTTGTAATTTTGCCTGTTTTGTTCGTTGATGACAGGGGTTTCCTTCCTATGGAGAAACGATCTCTACATCCTAAAACAAGTTAAATGAAAATACAAACGTAGCCGAATAAAAGCCATCGATAACTTCATCGAACACACAGTAAAATGTCACGTGACATTTGGTCAATGACTTGGTTTAGGTTTTGGTTTGGTTTCACTTTGTTTAACGGCCTTTTAACAGCTACGGTCATTTAAGACGTGTCTCCATGTGTGTTGTGTATGCGTGTATGTGTGTATATTTGCTGGAGGCACGGTATGTTGGTGTAAATACCTCCTTGTGATGGCGCGGATCCGATGCCGACTTTATAGTGCTATTTCACTAGAATACCACGCTGAAGGCACACAGCAAAGCATTCTACCCGGTCACATTATACTGACAATGGATGAACAATGTCCTGAATGATGAACGTTAAGCAGGAAATAACAACAAACCTTTTTAAAGGACCATTCTGGGGCAGAACCCATTGCCTTCCTCGCCTAGGCGAACGCTCAAAAATAAAGCCAAAGGTGAGGTGTTGCCAAGCAACGTACTAGTACATAAAAGGTAGTGAGAAGTAGAGAGACTTTTACAGCTACTTCCCCGTAATACCAATCGCTGTCGATGCCACATACCAATCACTGTCGATGACCCCCCCCCCCCCCCCCCCNCAGGCGCGTAGCTAGCCCCTTTACCATGTGTAAGCCCGATATGGGGTTTCCTAAGGGGGGGTTCTGGGGGGTCTCCCCCATGAAAATGTTGTTGTCTAGAACGTCTCAGGAGCCATTTACCACGTCCTGATGTCTGTTTTCTCGTTTTAATCCGCAAGAAAAAAATCCTATTTTTTGTATATATATATACCTATATACGTAGATCCAGTGTAATTCTGAAGATTAACCGTCGGTATTGCTTTGTACACCCTCCATACATACATTGTCTGGTTTTTACCTAATCTTGAAATATGCATTTGATACTTCTGCATTAGTGAACATGCAATTGGGTTTGTCTTTCTCATAATCTGATCCGAGTTAATTGGGAAGCGAGGTTACTCCCACTGTCACCTTTACTCAGTCTCCCACACAGTTTCGTCTTCTGTTTGTGCTTTGTGACTGGTTCCTTATACTTGCACCTGTTATTTGTTGGGCATTTCCAGAAGCGAGGTTGCCCCCACTATCATCGTCATGCCCAGCTTTGCAGTCTCCCTCACCGTTTCGTCTTCTGGTTTCATAAACATTTTGTGGACATGGAAGAAAATTAAAGTTTAGTTTTATATACGTCCATTAAAGAAGGTATTATTATGCGCAATCTGACAAAGTAAAAAAAATACAAAGCACCGTGATTTTTTAAAAATTCTGTTGTGTTGTAATTGAGCAGGCTCCAGAAGACAGATTTCGTCATTTATTTAGATTCCAAAGTGTCCTTTCCTACGATTGGCAGCAAGGAACTCCTCTATAACAGCATCAGTGTCAATTGGCATATCTCGGTGAATATGGAGAATTGACAATGACGAAAGACGCTCCTGTCCCATTGTGCAACGTAGGTGCGTCTTCACTCTGCGGAGGGAACTGAATGAACGCTCTGCTGAAGATGTGGAGACTGGCATGGTTACCAGTATTGCGAGCATCGTCCAGACACAAGGATACAGCTCACTGTT